GATAGAGGAGGCACAAGGGAAGGTTGCCACATGGTGTGAATTCAAGGTACTGAGAGAGAAAATAAAAAAATAAAATAACTCATGTGAACTTTGGATTATTGGGGGAGGGGAAAAAAGCATCCAGATAAATTAGTTTAGGCTGAACCTTACTTTGGTTTGCTCTCTTAGTCCCCAAACTCCTTCAACACTTCCAGCTTCTCACATGTCGCTCTCTCCTACCTCAGAATACCTAGTGCTGCCCAGATGCACTGGCTGAGCTCTCAGGGCCTCTAACTCCCAGCAGCAGCCAGGACCCATCTACAGGCACGACTCACAGGCCTCCATGAGGTCATGTGCCCATCAAGTCAGTTCCTGGTGCTTATTCTTCATTTTGGTGGGAGAGGCATGATCTATGCTGGAATCAAGTCAGAAACTCCCTCCGCCTGCACCTCAGCCATTGAATTCCCCATTTAAAAATCATACTTTCACCTGCTCTATGTTCCTCTGGGCATATTCCTCTTCTTAGAATTAGACCTCAGGCAAGTTAATCTCTGTGCTTCAGTGTCCTCAGGTAGCCAAGACCCTTGTGATTTCAATGCCCCTATTATTTTGGCAACTAGAATGAAATAATTTAATTCTTTTCTTTTTTAACATTTATCTATTTATTGTATTAAATTTATTGGGGTAACATTGGTTAATAGGATCATATAGGTTTGCAATGTATATTTCTATGATATATGATCTAAACATTGCATTGTGTGCCCAAAAACCTTCATTAAATCATCTTCCATTACCATACATTTGGCTTTATTTTTTATTTTCCCCCCTGTACTACCCTCCACCTTCTTTTGTCTGGTAACCACCATGGTGTTGTCTGTGACTATGAGTTTCAGTTTTATATCTCACATATGAATTAAATCATATTGTTCTTAAGTTTTTCTGACTTTCATTTTTTCTTTTTAAATCTATTTTTATTGATTTCAGAGAGGAAGAGAAAGAGGTAGAAACATTAATGATGAGAGAGAATCATTAATCGGCTGTCTCTTACAAACCCCACTCTGGGAATTGAGCCCACAACCTGGGCACGTGCCCTTACTGAGAATTGAACCGTGACCTCCAGGTGCATAGGTCAACACTTAACCACTGAGCCATGCCAAACAGGCCTGACTGACATTTTTTGTATAGGATAATATTCTGAAGATCAATTCATGTTATCACAAATGGCAGTATCTCATGTTCTTATGGCTGAGCAGCATCCATTGTATTTATGTACCACATCGTTATCCAGTCCTCTATGGTACTACACTTGGGTCTCCATGTCTTGGCACCGTGAATGCTGCTATGAACACAGAGGTATATATATCTTTGTGAATAAATGTTTTCGAGCTTGGGGGTAGATACACAAGAAGAGGGACTGTTGGATTCTATGATGATTCTTAATTTTTTGAGAATCATCCATACTGTTTTCCATAGTGGCTGTGCCAGTTTACATTCCCACCAGCAGTGAATGAGCGTTCCTTTTTCTTCAGAACCTCTCCAACACTTGTTATTACCTGTCTTGTTGATAATAGCCATCTAACAGGTGTGATGTGGTATCACATTGTAGTTTTTCTTTGCCTTTCTCTAGTAGCTAGTGAAGTTTAACATGTTTTCATATTCTGTTGACTGTATGTCTTCTTGGGAGAGCTGCTTGTTTAGGTCCTCTGCCCATTTCTTAATCGGATTGTTTGTTTGCTTGGTGTTGTCTGAGTTCTTTATGTATTTTGGATATTAGCCCTTTGTTGGAGCTGTTGTTTGCAAATATCATCTCTCATTCAGTTGGTTGCCTTTTTGTTTTGTTGTCAGTTTCTTTTGCTGCACAGAGCTTTTTAGTTTGATATAGTTCATGTCATTTATTTTTTTCCATTTATTTCCTTTGCGGTCAAATTCATAAAATGTTCTCTACAACCAAGTTCCCTATGTTTAGGACCTATGTTTTGTTCTATGCAATTTATTGTTTGAGATCTTATATTTAGGTCGTTGACCCACTTTGTATTAATTTTTGTACCTGGGGACAGACTGTAATATAGCTTAATTCTTTTGCATTTGACTTTCCAACTTTCCCAGTGCCATTTATTGAAGAGACTTCTTTTCTCCTTATTGTGTTTGGGCCCCTTTGTCAAAAATTATTTACCCATATACATGTGGCTTTATTTCTGGCTCTCAATTTTGTTGCATTGGTCTGTGTGTGTTTTTTCTGCTAATGTCATACTGTTTTGATTATTATAGCTTTGTAGTATAATTTGAAGCTAAGTAGTGTGATACCGCTGGCTTCGTTCTTTTTTCTCAGGAATGCTCTGGTTATTAGAGGGTCTTCGTGTTTCCATACAAAGCTGATGTTTTTGGTTCTGTTTGTTTAAAAAAATGTCTTTTATTTTGATAGGGCTCACACTAAATCTATTTATTATTTTGGGTAATATGACCATTTTAGCTATATTGATTCTTCCTATTCATGAGTATGGAATATCTTTTCATTTCATTGCGTGTTTTTCAATGTCTTTTAATCATGCTTTGTAGTTTTCAGTACAAAAGTCCTTCACATCCTTTGTTCAGTTTATTCCAAGGTATTTTATTCTTATGGTTGAAATTGCAAAAGGAATTTATTTTTCATTTATTTTTTTGAGGTTTTGTTGTTAGTATATAAAAAAGCAGTGGATTTTTTACATTGATTTTATATCCTGTAACTTTCAGTTTTACACCATTAAGCATGATAAAGGCTGGAGGTTTATCATATATATGGTCTTTACTATGTTGAGGTACTTTCCTTCCATACCCATTTTATTGAGTATTTCAATCATAACTGGGTTTTGTATCTTATCAAATGCTTTTTCTGCATCTATTGATAAGATCATATGACTTTTTAAAATATATTTTATTGATTTTTTACAGAGAGGAAGGTAGAGGGATAGAGAGTTAGAAACATCGATCAGCTGCCTCCTGCACACCCCCTACTGGGATGTGCCTGCAACCAAGGTACATGCCCTTGATCGGAATGGAACCTGGGACCCTTTAGTCCCCAGCCCGCAGCTCTATCCAGTGAGTCAAACCGGCTAGGGCAATCATATGGTTTTTTTATCCTTTATTTTGTTACTGTGGTGTGTTACTCTGATTGATTGTATATGCTGGCTGAGCTATCCTTGTGCCCTTAGAATGAACCCCACTTAATCATGATGTATTATTATTTTAAATGTGTTATTGCATTTCATTGCCTAGTATTTTGTTTAGGATTATTGCATCTTCATTTGTCAATGATATTGGTCTGTAGTTTTCTTTTTTTGTGTTATTCTTGCCCCGTTTTGGTATGAGGGTTAGGTTGGCCTTATAAAATGTGTGAGAAAGTATTGCCTCTTCTTCAATATTTTGGAAGGTTTTCAGAAGAATAGGCATCAAATATTTTAATATTTGGTAGAATTTACTAGTGAAGACATCTGGTGCTGTATTTTTATTTTTATGCATGGTTTTTGATGGCCATTTTTAGTCCTTATGCCTATGTTCTCTCTCTTCTCTCTCTTTTTCTTTTTACAACAGTCTCTTTAGCATTTCTTGCAATGCTGGTTGGGTGGTAATAAAGTCCTTTAGCTTTTTTGTGTTTTTGTGTGTGTGTCTGGGAAGCTTTTTATTTCACCTTCAATTGTGAATGATAGCTTTGCTGGATAGAGTAGTCTTGGATTCAGATCCTTGCTTTTCATGACTTTGAATACCTCATGCCATTCACTTCTGGCTTATAGTGTTTCTGTTGAGAAATCAACAGACAGCTTTATGGGAGCTCACTTGTAGGTAACTGACTGTCTTTCTTTTGCTGCCCTTAAGATTCTGTCTTTGTCTTTAAAGTTTGCCATTTTAATTGTGATGTATCTTGATGTGGGTCTCTTTGTCTTCATCTTTATTGGCACTTTCTGAACTTGTATAACATTTTCCTTCTCCAGGGTAGGAAGTTTCCTTTCATTCTTTCTTCAAACAGGTTTGTTCTGCCTTGCTCCCTCTCCCCTCCCTCTGGTACCCCTCTTTGTGTGTATTGTTATGCTTCATATTGTCCCTAAGTTCCCTTACACTATCCTTGGTTTTTTCAAAAAAAAATTTTTGTTTTTGTTGCTCGATTGTTTTTCTTACATTGTCTTTTAGATCACTGATTCTCTTCTCTGCTTCTTCCAGCCTATTTACAAATTTTTTTCAGTGTATTCTTGATGTCAGCTATGAGAAACTTCATTTCTGACTGGTTCTTATTCATGAAAGCCATTGTGATCATCATTTCAGATCTGACTCTTCTCACCTATGGTGGAGTAACTGAGGAAGGCAAAGGTTATCATTGTAACAGGAGTGTCTGGGTTGGATCATAAATAAAATTAGAGTTTGTTGTAATGTGGAGTTAGATGAAGGAAACACTACAGTCTGTGTTATAGGGGGATGCCAGGGCATTGAGAGGGAGTACTTAATAGGCTAGGCGGTACCAGTTAATAGAAGCTAAGTTGCAAACACAGAAAACATATAGGGCTTCTGAAATAAAAGTCTGAAATAAATAGGTGTTTGTTTAGCTACCAGGTTAAGACTTGTCAGGAAAGCTCTGTGGGGAGTGAAGAGCAATGGGTCAGTTCAGTTCAGCCTCCATGCTGATCCAGATCTCTGGGAGGCACACAAGCATCCTAGGATGGGGATGTTAATAATGAAAGAGTTTTATCATTTGGGGCACAAGTGGCTCTACTATGGGATCCTGCTTCAAAGAAATTCCATTAAGGGAAACAAGAGCCTCTCCTACCAGCTGAGGAAACTGGCATTAGAGCATCTACAACCCACAAGGAGATGCCACAGCAGGAAGTACACCCAGGAGCAATCGCCACGACCAATAGAGTGCCCAAAGGAGAGCACTGCGGGCATAGGCAGCTGGTGTGTGGACCTAGGCAAAGGCTTGATGCAAGAGAGGAAGCCACAGGGATCTAGAAGGGAGCAGAAATGACAGTGTCAGCAGTCGGGCAGGCAACTATCCCATGGCCACTGGAAGTGAGTGTTTTTTGGGGGGATGCCCCCAATAGTGTATCAGTGGCTCAGGGGTCCAAACTGCTTCCTAGAGCAATACACAGAGGAAACACCAGTTAAGGAAGTGGAGAGATGAAGGCAAGGATGTAATGACATCCATCCCATAAAAAGCAAGTGAGGGGCTCTCCAATATCTAGACCAGGAAGCAAAAGAGTGACCCCAGCCAGGTGGAAGCTCCCCTGACACTGTCCTCACAGAATGCTGCAGCCTCTGCAACCCCTCTAGCTCCTCCACCCCTGCCCAGAAATGCCAAGAAGCTCCCAGCTCTTGGGTCATCTGTCCCACTATCTGGGCAGTAATGTTGAGGTGAAGGACAAAGAGAAGTTGGCACAGCAAGCCCTGACTCTTGAAATATGCAAATGCATATGCTTCTGCAATAGTTGTAGGTTATTGTGCAACTTGCTTCCTCATCTGCCTCTCACTCTGCTTCCCTGGCTTTGGTCTTTCGTGAGTGGGATATGACACCCACCCAGAACCCAGATGCCATTCTCTGGAATTCAGATTCATAGAAATCTGTAAAAACCAGACACTGATGATGACACTTATCTCACAGGGTTCAGTGAGGTTCAGATGAGGCCATGGACTGAGGGTGCTCTGTAAACTCTAAGGTGACATGTGTGTAGTGGCAAGTTTCCAGAACCCAGGTGGGGGTGAGTGTGAATTAGTCAACAAGGGAGGAAATTGTCCAAAAGAGTTCTTAAAAGACCAAAATCTGGTGGCTCAGCATAAATAGCCCGTGTGTGTGGGCCAAGGAAGTGCTCATTTGTCTGGAGACCTTGGGCACTAGAGGACGCAATGGTGAGTATCAGTGCCGGCCTCTCTTTTTGTTTTCTCTGTGTCCACTGAATGTCCCCCTGCCCATTTGGGATGCTCAATGTACTGGTGCTGAGGAAGACAGGGTCTATGTAGCTCTTCTGCTCTGGGAGGTGTGGGTGTGGGTGTGGGTGTGAGAGAGCAGCATAGTGGGGAAGAAGGACCATTCTTCTGCCCCTCACTCTGCTTCCTTTGCTCAGTGGGAGATTAGCCTTCTGGGCTGGGGGAGGGTGGGTGAGTGGGATATGACACCCACCCCGACCCCAGATGCCATTGTCAGGAAGCCTCAGTTGGGAATGCAATTTCAACTTCTCCCTTGGCTCTCTCCACCCCTGATTTCTTCAGAAAAGAAGGTGGATGAGGAGAAACAGCCCCGGCATTCCCAGGCCCGGGTCATCCTGGTACCAACTGCCCATTGGACATGGATAAACATGATTTTCTGTTAGCTTTATATTTTCTTTTAAAAATACACCCACGGGATAAGTTTACTGATATTCAGTTAATTTTTAGAGGCATCATTTTTCAATAATACTTTAGTCTGACATTGAGGCATAAAGTGAACATTATGTCGCTTCAGGGGATGTGGCTCTGCCCATTACCGCTGTAGGACCAGCAAGGAGGCCTCATCCCAGTCCTAGGTCTCCAACCCTGTGAGGTGGCTCCTGCCCAGGGCCCTTTCTCCTACAATGCGCTATGGTGCCTTCTGTGCCATCTCGCGCTGTGGGGCAGAATGCCTGTTCCTTTTCATTCTTCCCCAGATGTGCGCACAGGGCCCTTGAATTGTGGCAGCTGCACACCAGGGGGCAATGCCCTGGCTCTGGCTGGAGCCTTTGGTGCTCATGGCCGAGCCTCTGCCCCAGCAAGTGCCACGCTGCTGGCCTGTGAGCTCGCCTGGTATTTAGAGACTCCCATGATGCCTGAGGAAGTGGTAAACTCAGAATGAGAAAGAACTGGTGCCAACAGGGTCCTCCGCAGCCCAGAACCACCAGCAGGTGGAGAAGAAAGCACTTCTGTGGCCAGGAAGGCCCTCCACTGCCTCCCCCTCAGGCTGCCTGGCCATCCCTTCTCCTTTGCTCTGTCCCTCAGGCTTCTTCTCAGCCTCTGCCACTCCCTTGGGCGCTTTTCTGGCTCCTCACTTTACAGTTTCTCTCAAGAGGAAAGAAGCCCACCATTAGGAGTGACGAGGTCCTGCTCCCACCCTGACCTCACTTAGCTGCGATGTTCCTCTCACATGTCACTGGACACCCTATTGAACATCTGTTTTTTCTCCAGCTGAAACCACTCTTTCCCTGACGGAGCTCACCTCACATGCCCTCCTCCACGAGGCCCCTTTCCCAAGTCGTCCCAGGTGGAGGGGCAGCACTCTAGGCATCCCAGGGTCTCTCAGCTCTTCTGAGAACTTTTTCTGGGTTCCCCCTTGAACTTTTTTCATGGAGACAGTGTCTAGTCCAGGAATGGCAGGCCACCTGGCAAACATATAGCCATGTGCCCATCTTGTGTTAGGACACATGTCACTGAGCATTCTGCCTCCTTTACAGACAAGCACTGAAACCGCCAGTGCTGGTCCAACCAAGGCTGTAAGTGACAGGAAATGGGTTTGCCCAGCCACCTTGCTGATACAGAGAGGGAGACGGAGGTTCAAAGAGAGAAACTGTCCTGCCCAAAGGCACTTCATGAGTCCTTCCTGATGTGACAGGTGGCCTCAGTGAGGAGTTCACATCCCAGACATGGTGATGGCAGTGAAAGGGAAGTCACTAGAAGGGACAAAACAGGGCATCTGAGAAGAGGTAGATGTTGCTGATAACCATGTCAGAGTCAGCTGGGTAACTCATGCCCTCCCAGGCCAGACTGTATGGCCGCCTTGTCCTAAATTGCTTTCGGAGTCCTGCTGCTCCTGATCCCACAGAAGGGGCGAGGTGGTAGGAAAGTGCTTCTCTGACTTCCGGGAGCTGGGTTATGTAATAGCCCATGTTCTGGAACCAAGAGCACGTCCTTTCTCTTCCTGTCCACCCTGAAGGCCATGCTTCTTCTCCTCTCCGTGCTGGTCCTGCTCACACAGCCTCCAAGGTCATGGGGAGAAGAAGTGACAACCCTTCCTCAGAAACCTTTGATTGATGACTGCACCCTGGTCACATGTAGCCCTGTGGAGAATGGCCTGCCTGGTCGTGATGGACAAGATGGGAGAGAGGGCCCCCGAGGCGAGAATGGGGATCCAGGTAGAGCTGGGACCTTGGGCTTGTCCTGGTGGGCATGGGTGGCCACTGGAATTGTAACCAACACAGCATGTCTGGATGTTCTGCCGTGAAAGCCCTGGAAATGGAAGCCCACCTCCCTGGGAAGAAGTCCCCTAGACATTCAGTCCACCTAAAGCACCTCATTATCAGTTGGCAAATGACAGGCTGCCCTGAGCCCTGAGGTGTTATTCCCCTCCCCTAGCTGTCAGGACTCCTCCCCTAGGATCTCCTGATTCCTCTCACCCCAAGGAGCAAATCGTGAGTTAATGACTGCTCTTTGGGACCCCGTAGAACCAAGCTGCGGCACTTCTAGTTGTTCATGTGGTTGAATGATTTCTGTGCAGAGTGTGAAATATCTAACTAAATTCTACTACATGAGAGGTTGGCAAAGATGAGGCCCTGTGACCCCACACTCAGCCCTGATCTAAAGGATTTACCTAAATGCACTACAGAGAGGAGGAAAGGGAGCTCATATTTTATAACTGGACATTTGTAGCTTTTGACCTTCACCCGTTTTGCCCACCACCCAGCTCCCATCTTATGTAACCACCAATAATCTGACCTCTGCATTTAAGGGTTCAGATTCTTTGTTTTGTTTTTTTATAATCCAGATGTAAGTGAGATCATACTGTCTCTGTCTTTGTATGACTTATGGCACTTAGCATAATTTCTTCAAGATCCATTCTTGTTGTGGCAAATGGTAGGATTTTTTTTTTGTGGCTGAATAATATTTCAGTGTGTGTGTGGGTGTGACACTTTTATCCATTCATCCATTATGAACACTATTAGGTTGTTTCCACCTCTTGGCTACTGTAAAAAAATGTTGCAATAAACATGAGGGTACGGATATCTTTTCAAATTAGTGTTTTATTTCCTTTGGATAAAACCCAGAAGCGGTATTTCCTGGATCATACTTTTTTTAATTATCTTTTTAATGTCTTAAGGAAACTTCCTATTGGTCCCCATAGTGGCTGCACCAATTTACAATCCCACCAACAGTGCATAGGGGTTCTTCTTCTCCACATCCTCACCAACACTTGAGATCTTTTGTGTTTTTCATAGTCGCCATTCTAGGGGGGGGTGAGATGATATCTCGTGGGTTTAATTTGCATTTCCCTGGTGACTCATGTCAGGAAGCATTTCTGATATAAAGTTTGGTCCTAGGAAGAGGAAAGCAACGAGTCCAAGGCCAAGGTAAAAGCTGGCAGATCCCCTGCTGTAAATCCTCAGCCTTGGGACAGGGAAAGTGCACTGTATGGAAATCAGACAGTTCTTGGCTTGACCCCCCATCCAGCTCTGGCAGGCCTGTTTCCTCGCCTGTGAAATGGGGATGTGCACACGCGTCTCCTGGGTCACCACTGGACTGAGGAGTGTGGAGGTGGAATGTCTACACCTGCGGAACCTGAAGGAATGTAGGGGCCAGCCCTGCAGGTGCTGCTCCTCCTAGGCCCAGGGCCAGGTTTATGCCCATTTCTTCTGCTGCTGCAGGTTCACCAGGAGCTACAGGGAGAATGGAGATGCTGGATGTACCCAAAGGAGACAACGGTCCTGCTGGAGAACCTGGACCGAAGGGAGACTCGGGGCCACGTGGTGAGCAGTGGGTGTGGACTGCAATGCCTGCCACTAGGCCATGCAGAAGGATGCACATACCCATCCCAGGAAGGAGGGTGCCCTGCGGGTGGCTCTGGATTCACACAGGGAAGGCTGTAATACTGCTGGGCGGTGTCTGTAGGATGGTGTTGTTCTCTGACCTCTATGACTGCTCTCACCTTCTCACGCTCTCCCCCTTCGGAGAAGACTCCACGCATTGACTGGCTAGTCCTTTTCCTAGGACCTCTGAGACCTCCAGGTGAGCCCAGGCTGTCTGGTAGAGAGGGTCTCTCAAGAATACAGAGGGATGTAGGACCCCAAGGTAAACCAACCCCCAAAAGAGAGCCTAGAACCAAAGGTAGGAGGTTGGTGTGTGGAGGTCCGGAAGGAGAAGGAGGAATGACGATGGCTACCCATTATTTGACCTAAGGATACTCAGCGTGCCAGTGAAGCCAGGCCATCACCACTGGCAGGCCTTGCTGCGGCCTTTGCCCCCCGCACTCGCAGCTCTGGAGGACCCAGAGAGTGGGGTGCACAGGCCCCCAGTTCTCTTTCTCCAGGTGGAGCTGAGGAAATCATCCAGCCTGCAGACACTCTCAACAACCTTTGTCTCAATCTGTTCCTTCCTCAGGAGAAGTGGGTGCCCCAGATGTGCAGGGCTCTGCAGGGACAAGAGGCCCCCCAGGTCCCAAAGGAGAGAAAGGTGCCCCTGGTGAGCATGGAGCCCCTGGGATTGCAGGTCCAGCAGGTGAGTGATGGGAAAAGCTGGGGCGGGCCTTCGGTCCTCCTGTGTCCACCTGAAGCTGCGGAGGCCTGTCCCTCCCCTGTAACCCGCCAGCTCAGAGTTGCAACACTGGGCCTTGGGGAGTCTGTGCAAGGAGGTGCCTCACTGGGCTTGAGCTCTGTAACTGGGGAGAGTGAGGTGTGAGCAGCAGGGACAGTCCGCATCCTGGGAAGGCAGGGTGCTGGGTGGTGGGTCAGTAGTGCGCAGAGAGTATGCGTGGCTGGCTATGGGACAGACTGTACTGGGAGGGTGTATTGCTGGACAATAGCACAGCCCATATGCTGGGAGGGGGAAAATGTGGGAAAATGTGTGCCGAGCTCACCCTCCTCTTCTTGTCTGATCTCAGGCCCTGCAGGACCCATGGGTATACCGGGAATTCCAGGTGCCAGGGGCCTCTCAGGACCGAAGGGGGACAGAGGTGATCCTGGGTCCAGAGGAGAAAAGGGAGAGAGTGGGCTAACAGGTAAGGTCACCTTCCTTAGCTCTGGGCACCCCACTAGGGTGCAGAGGGAGGAAGGCCTTCTAGGTCAGTGGTTAGCTCATTGTGTGGGGGGTGATGTGTGAAAGCAGGAAAGGCTGTTGGACTGAAGGCAAGAATATGAAGCTCTGGCTTAGACTTAATACACGGGGGAAGGCAAGCCTGAGCAGCTTCCCATCTGATCACTGGGACAGCTCAGCTCTCTTCCCAGTTCATGAGAGAGCTGTGAGCACCAAATAACCCAGGGATGGGGAGTACCAGAAGGTCGTGCAATCCACCCCCCTTTCAGGAATGTGCTCCCAGACTCTCAAAATTGGCTGTGAAATGTCATCTGGATCAGAGTTAGTGGGATGCCAGGACCTGCTCAGGGCCAGGGTGCTCACTATACAGCTCAAGGACCCTGTGGGCAGCAGGGCCAGCTGTGTCAGTGGCTGTGGGCTTCCTGGGGTCCAGCTCCTTACCCTCCCCAAGGAATAACTGTCACTGAGCACCCTTCCCTTGTGACCCAGACTCTTCCCCTGGATGTGAGGGACTGGTCTTCACTGAACCTCTCTCTCCTGCAGACATCACTGCTCTGAGGCAGCAGGTGGAAGCCTTGCAGGAGCAGGTAGGACGCCTGCTGGGAGCCTTCCTTCAGTATAAGAAAAGTGAGTTCTGGACCTGGAACTGAACCTGAGCCAGTCGCCAAGGGCAGGCCCCAGGTGGGGTCTGGGTTGGGTTTGGAGTTGGCCGGGCCTGAGGCAGGCCTGGTTCTAGGATTGGGGGCTCTAAGGGGGTGGAGGGTTTGGACGATGGGCTGGACCTGGGCCTTGGGCAGCACCTGGGACTAAGGATAGAGTGGGGCAGAGCAGAGCAGCCACATCTTCCAGGAGCTGGAAGCAGATTCAAGGGACACGTAGCAGGGTGTGGCCCCTACACCAGTTCAGTGGGCTGGCGCCAGCATGTTCAAGACTACCAGGCTCCAGCCCCACCATCAAAGCCACCTGTGACCCGAGTCAGATCAATGCCCCAAGCCCAGTGCAGTTCAGACTTCCCCTCCTGCCAACCTGTGCTGGTCCCTGGACACCCCACTACCCAGGATGCATTTCTTATCTCTATGGGGCTGGGTGTGCGAACTCCTCAAGATGTTGTGCCCAGCCCACAGCAGCAGCGACTCCTGACACCGTCCTGAGAGTTGGGGCTGGGATGCTGTGCTTGGGTTCAAGGCTGTGAGGGTCTGACCTTGGCATGTGGCCATTGAGAGTCTCACCTGAGACAGGCCCTGGGTCCGGCAGGGGGCAGGCTGCCTCTGGGCTCTGCCAGTGCTGGGCTCTCCCGCTGCTCCCTGGGTGTTCATGGTGGAGACTCTCCCCCAACCTGGGTGCTGAGGAGTCAGAGGCTCCAGGAGCACAGCCCAGTGCCTGTGCCTGTGGGCATCTCCACCTCAGACCCTAATTTCCCCCCCTCCTCCCCGCTTACCCCATGTCAGCTTTGAGCTCAAGTAATTCAGCAAATCTCAATGATCCAAAGAGGAGTTTCTGTAGGAGGAGAGAATGCAGGGGTGAGAATTAGGGCTCCTATGTACCTAAAACCACTAAGTACCCATGTACCAAGGGTGAGGTTTCAAACATTTAGTATATCTCCCTCTCTCCACAAACATGCATGTGTGCTCACTCCCTCATATGCACACTTAGGAAAACAAAGGAAAATTCGTAATATACACCTGCCACACATGTGTGTATTACACACATGCCATCACTCACCTCACATCATCTACACCCATGAGCACCCACGCATATACAACATAGAAGGTGGACCTTCAGTGCTCCCATGTACCTTCAGATGGACACGTGGCCATATTCGTGTATGCACACACAGACCGACATGGGTGCATGTAGTGAATGGCAGAGGAACTCCTGTCCAGGGCTGCTCTGGGTGCCCTCCTGAGCCTCTGGAGAGTCTGCCCCCTGAACCCTTGTGGAAGGGTCACAGTGGGTCCGGGTGCAGCCTGGGCTCCTCACCAGCCCTTTGGGGCTGCAGCACAACCCTCTCAGGAGCCCTGAAGGCTTTTATGCAAGAACCCAGAAGTCAAAGGGATGGAAAATGAGCCCGGCCAGCGTGGCCCAGTGGTTGATTGTCGGCCTATGAACCAGGAGATCATGGGTCCATCCCTAGTTAGAGCATGTGCCTGAGCTATGGGCATGGTTCCCAATAGGGGTGTGCAGGAGGCAGCCAATCAATGATTCTCCGTCATCATTGATGTCCCTATCTCTGTCTCCCTCTCCCTTCCTCTCTGACATCACTAAAAAAATATTAAAGCACACACACACACACACACACACTAACACACACACACACAATAACAACAACAGCAACAACAAAGGGATAGAAAATGAGATGGAATGAAAACATATAGTTAAATGTCACACAGGTGATGCTTTTATAAATTGTATTCCCATCTTAGAGATGAGGAACTGGAAACCCTGAAAAAGGAAGTGACTTTCCCTTGTCCACCTGGACAGTCATGGCCAAGGCGGGGCTGAATACCTGGCCCTCTGACTCCCAGACAGAGCTCTTTCCAGCATTGACTCTCTCCTGCCCCTGACGCCCATGCACACCTCTCAGCTGTCCTTGTCCTCTCTCCCAGCTCTCCAGCCTCACCCGCATGCCCACCTAGAGGCCAGCACTGGGCGCACACAGTGCAGAGATTAGCACAGCACTGCCCTCAGATGGCCCACCCTCACCTCTTCTTTCCCACATCCACACCCGGCACGGACCTCCCTGTCAATGCCACATGCCCTGCTGTTATGCAGGGTCCAAAATGAGATCAGAGTGAGCACCTTCCTTGTTTTCAGCTCTCAGAGGCTGCACGATGCCAAAGCTTCCTGGTCCCACCCAGTACCTGGGAGAGCGATTCTGCCATGCAACGTGGGGTGCAATAGAAAGAGCATGTCTCAGCTCTAGTGTGAGATCAGATAAGGGTGACCACCAACTCTACCTGTGATGGTCACATGATGTTGAGCCTCTTACTTAATCTCTCTGAGCCCAGTGTTCTCACCTGTAACTAGACAGGCAGATCTACCTCCCAGAGCACACTGCGAAGCCGGGGTCTCACCTTTGTCCACCGTGGTGCTCTGAGGCCCTATATGGGAGGCCTGGGGCTCTGGTTGGAGCACAAAGGTCTCAGAGCCATGGAGCTTTGGCAGGTGCCCCCAGAACCCCAACCTGACTGTGCTCTTCTCCTAGTGGAGCTTTTCCTCCATGGCCAAAGTGTTGGCCAGAAGGTCTTCAAGACAGCAAGGTTTGTAAAGCCTTTCCAGGAGGCACAGCAAGTGTGTGCACAGGCTGGGGGGCAGCTGCCCTCCCCACGCTCTGCAGCTGAGAACGAGGCCATTGAAACAGCTGGTCGAGTTTGAGAACAAGGGTGCTGCATTCCTGAGCATGACTGACTCCCAGACGGAGGGCAAGTTCATCTATCCAGGAGGGGAGTCCCTGGTCTATTCAAACTGGGCCTCTGGTGAGCCCAACAGCTATGGCGGCAATGAGGACTGTGTGGAGATGTACACCAATGGCAAGTGGAATGACAGGCCCTGTGAGGTGAAGCGCCTTGTGATCTGCGAGTTCTGTGCCCTTGGGGTGGGTGAGGCAGCCTTGGTCCAGGAGCTTGGTCCAGACCTGTGTGCTGCCAACATGACAACGAAGAGCTGACATCACTGTGGCTGGGCTTCTGCACAGAGCCCTGGGATGAGGCCAGCCAAGGGCTCCCATGGAACTCCTCTCTCAGAATAAAATACGAAACTGGCTTCACACACTGGCTGCTCTGGAAGAGGAATTAGGGGCCAGCCTGCTTTCCCAGTTGCAAGGGATAAAATTAGGCCCCAAAATCTAAACCTCCACCTCAGCCCTCTGCCTCCTCAAACTGTCAATCCAGCAAGTCACTCCCTCCTCTGTCACTCCCTCCTCTGTCACTCCCTCCTCTTACTTTGGTGTCCCCTTATGGCAGTTCCTTATCATCCTCTTTTTGTTAGCCCCTCCCCCTTTTCTTGACCACTGAATGGTGACCTGCTCAAGATTTAGCTCTTTGTTCTCTCCCCTCATCACCCTCACTCCAGGGATGAGCACATTCTGTCCAGGGCTCAGATCCCTGGCACCCACATTACATGCCTGCTCAGAACTTCCCGGAGCCCCGGACTCCTTGGCCAATGCTAGCAGGAGGCCCAGGGATGGGCGGTTCCAGTGGCTGATTCTTGTGCCAAGGCCTGAGCGCCGGAAGGTTCACCGTGCCATGGGCTGACCTGTCAGGCCATCTGCCTCCCTGGCAGGACTGTGTGGCCCAGTTGAGTAGCCTCCTCTGCATCCCTGCACACCAGGACCTCATTCTACCCTGTCATTGTGTCTGCCTGTCGGCTCATAGGAGGGAGTCCCACCTGCACAATCCCCATTCCAGCCGAGATCTCAGGCACAGAGGGTCCAGCCACGCTCAGCTTCACCCCCAGCCCTGCCCTGGCCTCAGTCCAGGAGGTTTTTCCCCCACGCCGCCTCAGAGACAGCTGGGCAGTTCCTCCTCCTCCTCCTCCCACAGAGACAGGGGGTGGGGGGGTGGGGGGGGGAGACTTGCTCAAGGCCCCAGGTGTGTCAGTGCTACAACTTGATCTAGTGAAAGGTCATCTGATCCCAAACCTTATTTTCCTGGCCTGTCAACTTTTAGGGCAAAGGCCTCTGTATACCAGTTGATTTTAATGACACTTGTGCTTAAGAAATTGGAAGGACACCTGGATGAAGCCCAGGCTCATAGGAGAGGCAACAAAACAGGAAAGCAGCCCTCCTTTGTTCCCAGGGATCAGAGGCCACACCCCTCTTCCCACCACTCACAGCCACACCTCAGATGTAGGACAGCAGGTCTGAAAGCAAAAAGCCACATCTAATACCCATGGTGTCAGATGGGTAGGGGATTGATCAGGATGATCACTTAGTAAGTCATGTATGACCATCCACTGTGATGTACACCTGAAGTTAATATCACACAGTATGTCACCTATAATTTAAAAATGAAAAATCATTCAAATAAAGTGATTATTGATAGGTCAAAAAAAACGAAAAGAAAAACCACACCTCCCAACAGCACACAGCTCAGTGTCTCTGCTGAGACCTTTTTCTTGTTACTGAAAAAAAAAAAACCCAAGTCCAGGTAGCTTCTGAAATATGTCAGTTATGCAACAGGGAGCAAATAGTCTTCAATTCAGAAGTCACATCTGGACACCATCCACCAGGGAGCTTCAAAAGGTATTTCATTGCCAATATAAAGGAAAAAGCAGTGGCTATGGTTTAAGCCCAAGGAGGCATTTCTTTTAAGAATGAAGAGTTCTGAGGTGGCTCAAGGACTGCGGGTGCACAAGCAGCGCTGTGCGGTCTCCCTGCTTCTGCCTCTGTGCATCCTCGTATCTCTTCCTCCTTCTCCCACCACCTTCTTCTGCTTCAGGCTCTGAGCTGCCCAAGCACAGAGTCATGTGTCACACAGAGATCAGAAACGCTTGCTGGATATCAGGTCAAAATTCCTGTGGAAGTGAATCTGCCTGTCTCAGATGCCCACCTCTGGCCCAACAGAATAGGCCTGGGGTGGACCCCACAGCACAGTATGGCCATTGGGACCCATGGAAGGTCATGGTGGTCTGGCAGTCCCTCTAAAAGTGACCACTTTCCATCCCAGCACATAAGGCAACCTATTTCTTTGACAAAAGTGGAGGGAAATTGCATAACTGACTCAGTGGAAAGAAAAGATGTGTCCTGTGGGGTTAAAGGCCAGGAATGTGGAGACCCCAAGCCCTAGGAGAAGCTTTAAATCCACCTCAGCACAGGGTCTGGTTTGTTCTCCAGCACAGAGAACAAGTAAGGAGGGTCATTTGGATTCTGTAGACACAGCCCAGCAAAAGCCAAGGACTAAGCAAGTATTTCAGAAAATTCAGGTTTTAAGCCTTTCTTAGCACAGAGACCTCTCCTACACTCACAGTCATGGGCAGAGGTGAACACGGGCATTAAACAGTATTAGCCCTGCCCCACGCATAGTAGCCTTGGTCCCTAGTGTAGTAGCCTGGGTGCCAAGTGAAGCCAGGACTTTGTGACTCTGACCTCTCAGGAGATGCTGTGACCCTCACAGTGCCAGGTGACATCCTGGGAGCAGCCTGGGGTCCTTCCACGTGGGAGGGTGACAACCACAGCAGCTCCATGGGGAAGCCCCTGCTCAGTTCCATAGTATATTCTCAGATAACCTCCTGGTTCTCAACCCTCCTGCTACTCAACCAACCCACTTGCCATCATGAACTGACAGTGGGGCGCACTCTGATGTTTGCTGGTGTTAGGATCTTTTATTTTTGTCCTTAATTTCCTCGGTATAAAACACTGAGAACTGAGTTGCTTATGTTCCGGGCATTCTCAATCACTCTTGTCTTCGGATATCCTTAACTCAAGCTTAATGGTGTGCTTGAACTTTTCAAGCTAACAGTGTTTATATACTAGAGCCAAGAACCCAGGTATCTACTAGAGGGAACAAAATATTTGTAATTTAAATATTTATCAGGATGGAAATTCCTGCACCCTGAGTGAGATATGGAGATAGTTACTGCAGCATATGTAGCCCATCTTTACTGCTTAAATTTTGAATATTAACTTACTTGACTTTCAGTTACCTAAACAATATAGTCTCTCTCAGGCTGCCTGACTCATACAACCTTGAGCCACAGAAGGACTCACGAAGACCCTCCCTACCTGAGCAAAACGGTACTTTTCCTATTTGTTCAGTAAGAAGACAGAGTGAAAAAAAGAATGAATGAAATCCTGAATTCCTGTTTGTACGGTTGAATAAAGTGTTTTCAAGACATTTCCAGGCCCATTGACCTAAGGAAATAGCACTGTGACCCCACTGCCAGCCTCTCTGCACTTTTATTAATTCCCTGAGTGCTTCATTTCACATGTAAGTGGCAGGGGTCAGGTTAAGGCCAAAGGTCAGATGGCAACTTCAGGCCAAGGGAATGAGTTCTGTGATCAGAGGGCTGGATCAGGGCAGGAAGGAGAGGGTACAAGAGTTGCTGAGTTTTGAGCAAGCCCAGGACGCCTGGCCCTGGCCACAGAGGGCCTGACAGGATAGGAAGAGGATGAGAGGGATGTGAGTTCTCCAAAGACTCAGTTCCAAAACAGAATGAGGCTGGAGGACCTCATCAGGAGGTCTTATGATAGAGTGAACAACCTAGAACAGTCAGAAAAATTACTTAAAATACAATGAGAATGGAGTTGGTCCTCTTACGCTAAAAGGTTTTATAAAACTAACATAATTGTGATAGTGTGTTAGTAACACAGGACTAGATAGACCAAATGTATCGGCTAACAAAACCAGGCCCAAGTATGTCTATACATATATGTCATATATGCATGATAAAATAGATTGCCAAGGTTATAGGAAAATAATGAATGGTTCAATTAATAATTTTCAGTTAACTGGGTAAACATTTAGAGGAAAAGTAAAATCAGAATTAAAATATAAAACTTCTCTGCCATAAATAAAGCAATGTAAGATTAAAATTGAAATGCTCATTTATTTGCAAAGTATATAACAGACAAATCAACAAGAAAATAGTGAATATCAAAGTAGGAATAAGAAAATAAAATTCATGAAATAAGATACTGATGGCCAATAGTAATGAAACATGAAAAATGTAAAATCTTAGTAATAATTAAATAAACTCAAATTAAATAGCAATAAGCATCCAAAAATGTATGGACTAGAGTTCAAGCTATACTCAGAAGAAAATGTACTTTACTTTCATTAATAAAAATTGCAAAATAGCCCTAGCTGGCTTTGCTCAGGGAATAAAGCGTCAGCCTGCGGACTGAAGGGCCCCAGGATTTGATTCTGGTTAAGGGACATGGCTCGGTTGGGGCTCCAATCCC